GCAGATGAGGATAAATGTGGTCATTTTTAAAGAGGTTGCTTAATGTGCCTGAAGGACATGAGAAAAATCTGAAGCATTAATAAACCAAAATAATATGCATAGTATGCCCTACTTCATTCATTTTGTTTATATGTTTATGCATGCATTTGTATATTTACTTTCTTTGTTCTCAAGTATGATTAAGTAAAAGAAGTATAAAACCTGGAATTTTTTCCCATATGAGAAGGCTGATTTTGTAGCAGTGCAGCAATGGGTGATTAATTATTTGAATAATTTGATCTGTCTTTTTCTAGTAGGCATGTGGGCAATAGATTAGTATTAGTATTAGTATTAGTATTATTTTCTGGAAAATGTAGTACAGGGGAGTAAAAAGCTATTCTAGTTTGTTCCTGAAGAAAAAGTATCCTTGAAGTGGGATGCTTTAATGTATTTCTCTACAAATATACAGGTGCGCGTGCACACCCCTTCCCTCCCTCCCCCAAGTACAGTCTTTGGTTGAAATAATATTTTGTTTAATAATTAACAAATGTTGCTGACCTACTGATTTCTTTTTGTTTAACTAATTGCATGCCAATTTATCTACCTATACACACTCACACACTGACAGCAGGTCCCATTGTTTTATATGGCTTTTAAGAAAATGGAGCCTAAAATGTTCAAGTTGGCGATAAACAATTTAATTTTCATTAATTTTATGACGTATCTAGTTTTAGCATTTGTAGCAGCCATAAAACATATGTTAAATTCCTAATAAAACCTAAGTAATGCTTTATCTGTGTGCTGTGTGAGATTTTTTTGTTTTTTTGTTTTTTTTCAATGGGAAGCAGTGCACAAAGTTACCACCTAGGGAACAGTTGTTGCTGTCTCCTGTACAGATCCATATCATTCTCAAATTTGCATTCTGATGGGGAAATAACAAATGTTACTTAAATCCCATGAAGTGTGTTAATTATACTGAGCTCCATGAAATCATGGGTGAGAGAGCCAAAAAGAATTCTACAATTGCATTTTGGGTCTCTTGAGCATATCTTGTCAGATTAACGTCTTTGTCACTCACGTGATAACCTTAAAATTGCTTTTCTCCCTAAGTGATATTCCCCAAACCTCAATGATACGGAAAATCTCACATGAAACTAAATAGCAGGTGCAGGTTGTATTGTTTACATAAATAATGTCGGTATGTTACTGCAACTATATCAAAATTGAATTCATTAACAAGCACAGCTTGTTACTTTCCTGTAATTCTGGTACAGTCTCTCTACTGTGATTTTGGATACAGACCATAAGGCCACGTTTCTAAGAGATGATATTTTTTGCTGGTATGTGTCTGAAACAAAGAATAAAACCAAATAGCTGCTTAGGATGTTATGTTTACATTTTTTTTTTTTTTTCCAAGCCCTAAAGAATTTTACCTGCCTCATGACTTGACTCTAGAAGTAACTGTACTGTGAAACACTAATTGAAATTATCCTAGCGATTTGATCAGAAGGGACAGCTCCCTCAAGGGCTGTCTCATGTGGGAGCACAACAGAAGGCCCCCTAATAACACAGAGGAAAGAATTTACATACAGGGGAATGAGATGCATGCTTCAGTTCCCCAGCAGGGGACATACTCCACCCTCAGACAGCTGTATTCTTCTCAAAAAGTCGCAACTATGACTGGCTAAATTCAACCCATTGGAAATCTATATAAGATGTCAGACCCGTCTAAGAGACAAATCTAATCCTTTTGGCTGAAAAATAGCTCATAGCACTCTGCTGCTCCTAGTTTACTGATATTTGGAAGAATGGTTTGGTTTGGCAATCAATGTCCTAGAGCCACCAAAGACCTTGATGTTATCTTTTTTCTGTAAGCCCATAAAAAGGATTACTGAAAAAAGAAGAAATGCCATGATGTTGTAAGAGCACTACCAGTTTTACTTAACTTTAGGTTTACAGCACCATAAATAAGCAGGCATACTATTGGAGGCTTGTTAGTAGTATTTTAATAATTTGTAATTCATTGTCAAGAACTTCAAAGCTTTAGTTGCTATATGAGAACCACCATATAGCTGGACACATTGTATGCACTAACAAGTACATTTGGAAAGTACATCATGTTATTTGTGCCTCTTCAGTACCTCAGAAGGATTATGGGATAGGCTCCAGATATAAGAAGCTGATGATAGAGGGCATTAAAGTTAATGGAGTCATGCCAGCTTACAGCATCGGATGAGCTGGTGCAAAGGCTGGAAAATATTTAGGGATGATTCTCCCCTCCTTTGCACAGGACAAACTGAATGCAAAATGAGTGTAAAATCAAGTCATTTTGCCTTGATAGGTTTTACTCCCACTTTGCATAGACATAGAGGATAATATAAAATGCATGCAGAGGAGAATTTGGCCTTGTGGCTGAGATCTGAATTTACTGTCATATATATCAGCTAAGGCAATCTCCCTATACCTTTATTCTGCTTGTCCCTCTTGTCATAAAGTTATATAACTTAGCTTGAAACTAGACTGTTG